TTCTCCCTCTCCCACTCCCCCTGCTTGTGTTCCCTCTCTCGTTGTCTGTCAAACAAATAAAATCTTAAAAAAAAAAAAAAAAATGGTACAGCTACTCTGGGAGAGTTTCAGTTCCTTTTAACATTAAACATGCAGTTACCACAGGACCCAGTAATCACATTCTTGGATATTAATTGTAGAGAAGTGAAACTTATGTTTACATAAAAACCTATACACAAATGTGTATAGCCACTTTATTCGTAATAGGCTGAAACTGGAAACAACCTTGATGTTCCTCAAAATGTGAATAGTTACACACACTGTGTGGTACATCCATACCATGAAGTATGACTCAGCAAAAAAAACCCAAAGGAACTACCGATACACACAACCCAGAGGGCTCTTACTCATGCTGAGTGAAAAAAGCCAACCTTGAAAGGTTATAACTTTATGATTCCATTTATATTAACAATCTTTTTTTTTTTTTTTTTAAAGATTTATTAGAGCGCGTGTGTGGGAGAGTGCGGTGGGGGGGGGGGAGGGCAGAGGGAGAGGGAGAAGCAGACTCCCCCGCTGAGGCGGGAGCCTGACAGAGGCTTGATCCCAGGACTCTGAGATCATGACCTGAGCCAAAGGCAGCCACTTAACTGACTGAGCCAGCCAGGCACCCCAACAATCTTTGAATACAATTATAAAGATGGAGAACAGAAGAACAGAAGAGCGGCCGCCAGGGGTTAGGGATGGGGAGAGGTGGTGGTGGTGATGGAAATGTTCTGTATCTTGATTGTGGCGGTCGTTACATGAATCCACGTGTAACCAAACCGCACAGAACTGCTCACACACAGAGGACAAGGTGAAATCCGAATAGGCTCTGTGGGTTGTACTGAGGCCAGTCTCCTGGGTCTGATACTGCACCTGTTACACAAGATGCTACCGATGGGGGAAACTGGGCCAAGGGTACATGGGACATTTTTTTCTTTCTAACAGCCTGTGAATCTATAATTTCAAAATTAGAAAAAAAAAGGTCCATCAGAGAGAGATGTATGATGACCTATTTACAGATTAAATGACACAGGTCTTGCGTTTACTTTAAAACCCTAGGAAGAGGGGCACGTGGGTGGCTTAGTTGGTTAAGTGTCCTCCGACTCTCCGTTTCAGATCAGGTTGTGATCTCAGGGTCATGATCTCAGTGAGATTGAGCCCCCGCATCCGCTCCTCGCTCAGCGGGGAGTCTGCTGGTCCCTTTGCCTCCCCCTCTGCCCCTCCCCCCGCTCTTGCTCTCTCGCTCAAATAAATAAATAAAATCTTAAAAAAAAAAAAAAAAACCTCCAGGAAGAAAAAATAAAGGAAAAAAAAGGTGGGAGACATCAATGAAACAGAATTGAAAAGATACTGCTTAGTGTTGAAGCTGGGTGAAGGATATACAGGGAAAGCATATATACTTTCCTCATTCTGTGTTTGAAAATTTCCAAAGTAGAAAGTTTTATATAGTATCCAGGGGTAATTAGTCCAACAGAAGGACTAAACCTTATCTGTCTACAGTCTTACTCCTTGCTGTACTTCTGAATACAAATTAAGTTCAAAGTATATCATTCTGTTTCATTTGCAAAGCTTTTATTATGACCTTTGATTAAGAGCTCATAAATCACGTCCTTAATCTGGCTCTGTTTACTACGTTTTCCCTCCAAGAAGTCTCCCAAAGTTATAAAAAATAGAAATTTATAAATATACATTGAGAATTATACACAGTTTTTACACATCAATAGTCGGGTCAGTGTTTCAAGCTGTCTCATCATTTCTCAGGGCCTCGCATCCAGAATTAGGGCCTCCAATCTCAACAGCAGAAGTAGCAACTCTTTCCCAAACCCGCCTCCTCTTCCCTCAGATTTGTGGCATGGGGCAGGTGCTGGTTTTGGACAGTAATGGCAAAAGAGGAAGTGCAGAAATGCTGACAGGGGTGGCTGCCCCAAGAGCGAACAGCAAGCCAGCAAGGTCTCAGCCCTGCACCTGCCAGAGCTCAAACCTGGGCCTGTAAACTCAACCGGCCAAGAATTGCCACGAGCCGAATCACAAACTCAGCAAAGGCCCGCTCTGACTGCTGTCCAGTCGAAGAGTTTCAGGCCACTGCAAACCTGAATGCTTATTTGGTCCGGAGTGGGGGAACTCAAATATCTCCCTGGCATGCCATCTTCAGTGACTGACAAGCAGCTCCTTTGCCTCCAGGCAACGGGATGGAGGGCCCTAGGGCAAGAGTGAGGCCGGAGGAACGTGGAACCTGCCTTCAAGTTCTTCAAGTTTTCAAATTCATCTAGAGCATGGAAGATGAAGAGATGACTCTGGAAGTAGAGCATCGGGAAAGTTCGATACGGACCTTAGGACACTAACCCAAGGAACAACTTGTTTATCCTGTGTTAACTTCCAGGTGTTGCTGGCATTTTTCTTCTTTGGACTTGGGTTTTTAAATCTCTTCCTTTGGAGACCAGCCAAAGGGTATCAGCTTGCCCAGTATCTTCCTTAACACTTGCTTTTTTTGTTTTGGTTTGTAGGGTACATCAAGGACAAAGTCCTCTCTCCCCAGAAAGAAAAGAGGTTGATCAGATTCAGACCTGCTTCTGGAAGAATACCCTGGCTTGGCCTGCAGGCTCCTCTCAGCCCACTTCTGCCATAAGGTGGGACCACAGCCTTCGGTCCACGCTAGCCTTCCAGCAGACCGGCCAGGTCCATCCCTCAAATTCTACCCCCCGCCAACCCCGCCATCAAATCCTTTTCCTGTTGTTTACAATCGGTGATTCCTCTACAAGTCACAAAATAATATATCCACTGATTAGGGCTCTTGTCAGAGAAAACCTCTTTTCCCAGGATGGAGCGGGACTTAGTGGGTAGTCCCCAAGCACACATCCCACAGAAGGACAGCCAGTGATCAATCTCCCAGGAGAGAGGGCTACCCTTATGCATCACTCTAACTCCTGTGTGTGTGACTTATCTGCGCATGCCTGGTCTTCCAGGATTCAAAGGAATCAAGTTCTGTGACAATAACTGAAGTCACTCAGGTGGATTCAGAAAGTCTGATCATTACCATCATGTCTTCCTCCACCCAAATATCCAGTGAAAATAGGTGGTCTTAATATTTGAGTTTGCTATTAAAATCATGCCCAGTCACACCGGCTGCCTTGGCTTGACCTTGAGGAGGCCACCCTCTCTTCTTCCCTCCAGTGGCTTTAACTGCCCCAGGAGAGTGGTGTCCGCGTCTCTGTACAAGGCAGGCTTCCTTCTCAGCTCACGAGAGCGACCTAGAAAGAAGAGGAATCCATGGAACCTGCCTGGTGGGGGCCCCACCTGCTCTCCTTCTAAGGGGGACAGCTCTAGGGCTGTGAGGGCTGGTCCCCAGGCTACAGGATGCTCAACCTCTTTGCAGCAAGAGGAACATATGGGGGATGAGTGAGGAGAGGAAAAGGGAAAAGATTTCCTTTCCCTAGGTTCAGACCCAGTGGGGAGCCTCTCTTTTCTGCCAGGGAGCAGAGAAGACCACCTCAGTTGGCCAGAGAAGCCTCTCTGCACCCCAGCCTCCAACTCACTTCTTCCTGCGAATCTTGGGTTTCTTCACAGGCCGCAGATAGGGGTTATCGATGACGTTCTCCTCCCCATTCCGGCTGCCCGACAAGGAGGGGTTCTGCTGCAGGACAGAGGTGTTCTCCTTCTCGGCTCCAGAATCATCCTTTGAGCAAAAGCCGAAATAAAGCAAAATACCAATGGCATAAGGAAAGAGATCATGCCCATAATAAGAACTACTATTAGCATCCCTTTCGTCAAGAAATTAGAAGCCCAGGGACCACTTTCTTTCTAGTGTACCTATCTCTGCCCTGGAGAAATGAGGCCCAGGCAGGGGCCGGCTAGCAAAGGAAGAGGAGACCAACAGCTTGGACACAGGGCAGCACAGAAAACAAAACTCTGAACCTCTCAAGAAGGCAAGGACATGAGTTAGAACAGAGGCCTGGCAGGGGCAGGGAGTCAGAGGCAAACATCTGGATGCTCAAGGAGGAAACCCGGCCTGTGTGGAGATAAAGAAAGAGAAGTGACCCGAGATGCTTTGCAGGACATCTGCAGGGCCAGAACAAATCATGTGCACAGGGCATCTCCTGGACCAAACTGAATGCAAATCAAATCACTTTCCTCCAGATTCTCAAAAATCTGGTACCTGCAACAGGTACCAACGATCACACTGCAGCAGAGGCCAAACATTTCTTGAGCCCTGAGGGTTCCTGCCAAGGCAAAGACAACACGCAGGCGCCAACACGGGAACGTCAACGATAATCCCCATCTGTGACCTGTGGGTCAGCTCTTTCACTGTTTGCTTTGAGGAAAGTGATTTGGGAGAAAAGTTTATAGGTTTACAATATATTCAACATGATTTCAATTAAAACATTTTTTAATCATAATATGTGTAGACATATTGAAAGTAGGTTGAAACATTATAAACCGGTTCTGGGAATATGGGTGATTGAGTCTCCTTTCCTTATTTATGCTCTCTTCTATTTTCCAAGTTCTTTAAAATGAGCACAAGCTGCAGGGGAATGGGGAGAAAAATCACACTGAGGACTTGACCTAGAAGCTCAGGCCTGAGGGACTAGAAGTGACCAGAAGAAGCCGGTTGGGCTGCGCCCCCTGGTGACGGGCCAAGGCTCCTGTCACTGAGATTCCGGTTCTGTAATTGAGACAAAAGAGGACCTGACCTCAACCAGGAGATTGTTGTCAAAAGACAGCAGGGCAGAGGACGCTGTGACTGGATGACATGAACAGCAGGTTCCCTCACAAGGCACAGCAGGCTGAGGACAGGGACTCCAGTCTTAGGCTCAGTGAGCCTGAAGAAACTGGCTTACTTCTAGGTTCCGCTGCCCACCCCTCCCTGCCCCACCAATTCTGCTCTCCCCCAAAACCCAGTTCCATCCAGGGTCCCTGTGCTTTCCCTCTCCCACACCCGATCCAGTGGGACTACAAAGTGACCTAGAGCCGTTGTAGACCTTCTGGAGGGTCTCTTGAAAGGGAGTGCCTGCCCCCAGGACAACCTAGCTCATGCCAGACCCAAAGTGTGACCATGACCAGACCTGCCTGGGATATTTGGCGCCCAATCTTTCTGAAGTTAATAGCTTGGTTCAGTAACTCACCCCCTACTTCCCTGCTGTCCTTTCTCTACCGGAAACGCCCTGTCTTAAAAGTGGCTGCAAGTTCACTTCAACCATGCCTTAAGTGTTTCCTGAGATAATAAGGATGGGAGGGACAGTCAGGGGCGCAGAAAAGCCAGCCCTGGGACCTCTGCTGGAGGGCACTAGGCTCCCTCCGTTCGGCTCACTTGTCTCACAAGGCCAGGATGTGGGTCCCGAGTCATGGGACAACAGCTTCTCTTCTCCCAAGTAGAGCTGGAAATGCCACTTTCTTGCCTCCTTCAGGGACAGGCAGCCTTGAGACAGGAAGGGATAGGAGTAGATAAAGGTAAAGTACCAAACTCACTGAGATTTACTTGAAAAAGGTGGGAGCAGAAGAGTCTGTCAGGAGCTCCCCGAGCCTGCGAAGGCCACAGCGTGTAAGCTCTGGTGAGCCCCCCACACCCCCGGGTGACTGCAGTGCCTCACAGTTTCCAACGCCATTTTTCTACCCCGACCACTGCCGCATGCGCCTCTCTGCCCTCACCTCTCTGCTGACTCCCAGGCTCGCACAGCCACCTGCTCGCTCAACATCTCTACCTGGCCTCGAGGAGGCACCTCAGACTTCTGTGCCAGAAACGGGGCTCCAGCCCTTCCCGAGGTGACTCCGTCCTTCCAGTTCTTCAAGCCCGAACTCCACAGTCATCCTTGCTTTTCTTTCTCAGACTCCCACATTCAAATCTGTTAGGGTCATTTCTTGGCCTTACCCTTCAAAATACGGGTAGAATCTGACCACTTCCACTGTCTCTACTGCAGCTGCCCTGTTGGACCCCCAGTAGCTCTCATCAAGACTACTGCAGCAACTTCCTAACTGACCTCCCCCACAGTCTGAGATCCTTGAGGAAGTTCCGGTATGTCCCTCTTCCGTTCCACACCCTCCCATGACTCCCATCTCACCCAATTAAAAGCCAGTTCTGAAAGCTGACTGCAGGGTCCTACCTGACCTGACCTCAGCCTCCCTCCCACTGCCTCCCTCAGCCACAACCCTACTCACTCACCTCTGTGTTGTTCCTTAGGGCCTCTGCACTGGCAGCTCCCTTTCCAGAACGCTCTTCCCCAGATATCCACATGGCTCACTTGCTCACTCCCTGCAAGTCTCTTGTCAAATGTCTCCTCAGTGATGTCTACCCTGATCACCCTATTTAAAACTGAAACTTCCATCTTTCACCCTGGATCTTCCCCCTCCTTGGTCCCCTTGCCCCAACAATAGCATCCGCATCTTTAATATACTGTAAATGATTCATTTATACATTACATTCATTGTGTTTCCCCCCTGGCCAACACAAAGGCTTCCAAAAGGCAGATGTTTCGTTTGGTCTGTTCACTGAGGTATCCCAAGCACCCAGAATGTATCTGGCACATACAGGTACTAAATAAATACTTGTTGAGCAAATGAATGGTACATTGTTCATAAAAGAGCAAGAGTTGAGACACAGGTATTGTCTGTGGAAGGCAGCTAGTTCAAATATACAAGGAAAAAAAAAATCTCTCTTACACACTCATTTAAAATGAATAGTCCCTTTATGTTCAAGTACATGGAGAAACCGGAACCGGTTAAACAAAGTAACCACCTAGAAACAGTCCTTAAAAGCATTGCTGCCCTTGATAGATAAAAGAATAATTTAAAATACCAGTCATTTAATTCACTGTAACGACGTCTGTAAACCACAGATAGAAAACATACCCGTCTACAGGGAGCTGGTTACGTTCCATGGTTATGTCCACACAGTGGGACATGATGAAAGCATAAGGAGGGCTGGAGAAGCTCCTAACACACACATATGGAATGATCACCAAAATATACCAATAAAGGAAAAAAGGAAGGGAAAACCGTTTGCGATTTGCTACTTGTGTTTAAAACAAGGAGGAAACTGTGTCTCTGGGAGGATACACAAGAGACTGGTGACACTGACTGCTTGAGAGGCAGGGAAGTGGATGACAGGGAACAAAGATGGGGGAAAGGATGGTTGCCGTGCGTTTCTTTCTACATTGTGAATTCTGAAACATAGAACTGTATTTGCCACTCAAGAGAATAACATGAACAAGTCCAATCAGCTGTGTATCAATTGTTGCTAGGATCCTTTTCTTGAGGCCTTTGTATTTATTTCTTCACTTTTAATAGAGGAGCAGGTGGTGGTACAGCCTAAAATGGTGGGCGGCTGGGGGAGGGAGCCGCCAGCCAGGCACCCGATGTACGTTGCTGAGATAGCTTTTCCTATTCCTGCTTGTACTTGTGAGGAAACAGACTCAGATGTTAGGGAATGTGACCCAGGTCACATTATCTGGAAAGCAGCGCCGTCTCGACTGGAGGCCGGGCCAGCGTGACTCTGAGGGTCAGCTCTTGCTATTCTCTGCCATCTGGCTTGGCCTCTCGGTATCCTGGAGTCCTACGGCAGCTCCCGCGTTCCTGGCGTTCCACAACCTCACCTAAGTCACCGCCTGCGGTGACCCATCACACATCTGCAGGCCTGTTAGCTACTTGGTGCTTAGAAGATGCCTCCTGTTCATCAGGTGAACCTCATCTGAGTCCAAGACCCAATCACCCTATCTCAGACTAAATTAACTGAGTCCCAAACAGAAGTGTAAAATAACAAGTTCTTCTGCTTTAGGTAAAGCCATGGGCTTCCAGCCCTAATTCGGAAAGGAATAATCCCACATTAACGAGACGTGTGTTCAAGCAAGGAGGCCCGTCAGCAAATAACAGAAGACAGCACAGGCTGCGCTCCACCTGCATACTGGGGCTGCTGGCTGCCACCTGCTGCATGGAACCTTGGAGAACACATGGAATGCTTGGTCCAATGACCACCACCAAGGCAACCTTTGCTTCAAAGCCAGGGCCGGCTTTAAAGGATAGATGAATATGGTAAGCGGACCACAGGGTCCTTAAAGGCATTCAAGTTTCTAGCAGTTCTGTGGCTGTACTTGGCACTTTCTCGCAAAGATACAGGGACATGAGTGGGGTCTTATCCTCGCATGTGCTGATTACAACACCTCAATACCCAGACGAGAACATCCACGGGCTCTGACGAGCACGTCTCACCCGCCTTGGTCTCTGCCCACGCACTCGATCTCCTCCCCTGGGAGTGAAATGCCCCTATCAAGGCCAACCCCTCCACCATGCCCTGGCCCCTAGATCCCTTACCTCTCACCTACCAAAGAACATCAATCCAAAATGTTTCTGTCTCTCCTGCATCCACTTTTCCTCTCTACCAGATCATCCCATCGGCATACTGACATCCTGTTATTTCTTTTATCTTAAAGAAACAAACAAAAATAAAAACGCCTCTCTTGGGGCGCCTGGGTGGCTCAGTTGGTTAAGCGACTGCCTTCGGCTCAGGTCATGATCCTGGAGTCCCGGGATCGAGTCCCGCATCGG